AGTGCTAGAATACATCTTCAATGTAGACCTAATACACGAACAGTATCTGTTACACTCCAGAAATTCCTTACTTTTCTTAAAACGCTAAGTCTAGGTTGTAAGTTGACTGAATAATGGGGAAGACTTCTCGTAATTGGATAAGAATAATTTCTAGCTTTCCAGGGACACTGAATCAACACCAGACTTTTCCAGTAAATTCCAGCTTTTTTTTTTTTCGTTTCTATGACCATTTGCAATAACTGACAATGTGACTGATTTTTTTACATTCATAATTATGTCCACGCATATTTCCGACACAAAAACTAAGAATGAATGTGTTAGCTGTCATTATTTTTATTCCATACAAGAAGTTTATCTCTTCCCATGTATTTACACGGTTTTGTGGGGTTTTTTTTAATCACTTAGATTTTATATTATATCTTTTTAGTTGTATGCAGGCTGCCACAGACACTGCATGATCGATTCATGAACAAATGCAGAGTAACTTTCTCTTGTTTAATAGTAAAGTAAGAGCTAACGCTGTTCGTTTTCAGTCAAAAAATGCAGATGTACATCTTTCTTCTCTTATAACTTGACTTCTATTACAACTTGCGCAGATTTAAGATTTCTCATGGTAAAAGACATGATATTCGTAGTCAGTTTAACACAGATTTTGGAGAGATCTGTCGTGCCTTTTTTAAATGAACAATCATTTATTCATAAGTTTGTAACAAAAATAGGACAAATAGGGTACTCTACAAACACTTGTCTAGAACAGAAACTAAGGCACAGAAATTAACCATTCTAACGCAGAATAAATCTCAAGACATTGAGCTTTTAGTACATCCGCGTAATGGTTTGCTATGTGAGATGGGAAAGAAGTTACATCGTTTTAAACATAGTAAAAAATGCGAACTTCTTTACCGACACCAGCAAAGTCGCTTCTGGGCTAATTAACCCCGTGACCCCAAGCCGGGGAGCTCCGGCGGGCTGCTTAGTCGCGCTAACTAAAAGTAACAGAATCGGGCGAAAAGTGACGCCGTGTTCTGCTCTTGAGACTCAAAAAAGAACGGACATTGTAACTTGTTTGGTTATTTCGTTAGACGCGCTGGAGTTGGCAATGCTGTAATTTTTTTTTGACTAGCGTGAATTAAAAAAAAATCAATGTAAAAAAAAGGCCTCATCAAAATCTATCGAACTTTTGGAACATGAACGACATAGCATTGATGGAGATACTCAGAAAAGATGGTATCTGCGCATATAATAGAAAGCTGTAATTTTGCAACTTTATCCATCGGGCACACAATTCGCTATGAAGTTATTCCTCCAAATACAACTTTATGTGTCTAATATAATCGTGAATATTCGCATATTTTCTCGAAAGTTTATGAAAGTTACCATGAAGTTTCTCTATGAAAAGTACACATCGATTTTAGTGCTAGAATACATCTTCAATGTAGATCTAATACACGAACGTATCTGTTACACTCCAGAAATTCCTTACTTTTCTTAAAACGCTAAGTCTAGGTTGTAAGTTGACTGAATAATAGGGATGACTTCTCGTAATTGGGTTATAAGAATAATTTCTAGCTTTCCAGGGACACTGAATCAGCACCAGACTTTTTCAGCTTTATTTTTTGTTTCTATGACCATTTGCAATAACTGACAATGTGACTGATTTTTTTTACATTCATAATTGTGTCTGCCCATATTTCTGACACAAAAACTAAGAATGAATGTGTTAGCTGTCATTATTTTTATTCCATACAAGAAGTTTATCTCTACCCATGTATTTACATGGTTTTGTGGGTTTTTTAATCGCTTAGATTTTATATTATATCTTTTTCGTTGTATGCAGGCTGCCACAGACACAGCATGATTCATGAATAAACGCAGAGTAACTTTCTCTTGTTTAATAGTAAAATAAGAGCTAACGCTGATCGTCTTTAGTTAAAAAATGCAGATGTTCATCTTTCTTCTCTTATAACTTGACTATTACTACTCGTGCAGATTTAAGATTTCTCATGGTAAAAGACATGATATTCGTTGTCAGTTTAACACAGATGTTGGAGAGATCTGTCGTGCCTCTTTTAAATTAACAATGTTTAACTAAAATAGGACAAATTGGGTACTCTACAAACACTTGTCTAGAACAAAAACTAAGGCACAGAAATTAACCATTCTAACTCAGAATAAATCTCAAGACATTGAGCTTTTAGTACATCCACGTAATGGTTTGCTATGTGGGCTGGGGAAGAAGTTACATCGTTTTAAACATAGTAAAAAATGCGAACTTCCCGACCGACACTGGCAAATCGCTTCTGGGCTTATTAACCCCGTGACCCCGAGTCAGGGAGCTCCGGTGGGCTGCTGAGTCACGCTAACTAAAAGTAACAGAATTGGGCGAAAAGTGACGCTGTGATTGATTTATTTTCATTCTGGTTACCATGTACGTAGAGATACTGATACTTGGTGCCTGGTTACCATGTACGTAGACACTCCGTTTTTGTATTAAAAATTTATTTTGGCCGGACCCTAACCCGAACACAAATATGAATTAAACTCGGGAATCTTAACACTCGCCAAAATAATAATAAAAAAACCCTCACAATCTTCACGTTTACCTGGCAAATTATCAGTTTTTCAAAATGGCTGCTGATGGAACGTGAAGGCAATTTCCAAAGGGTGCCTAAAGATCTAGATGCTCAAGTAGCGGGTTAGATCAAAATATTTGTAGTAGTAGTTAGGCCTAGTGAAAATAAAGGCAAAATATCTGATTTATTTTGGCTCAAAGAGTATTGAAATATCGATAATCACTTTATGTTAGGTTAGTTGTCATAGGTAATTGTAATAGGTAGGGATAAGGACGAGGGGGGGGGGGGGGGGG